TATGGACTCAGAAACAAACTGAGGGTTCTAGAGGGGAGGGGGTGGGGGATGGGTTAGCCTGGTGATGGGTATTAAAGAGGGCACATATTGAATGGAGCACTGGGTGTTATATGCAAACAATGAATCATGGAACACTATATCAAAAACTAATGATGTATGGTGATTAACATAACATAATAAAATAAAAAATAGGATTAACTGAAAAAAAAAGACAGCTAATATCACAAAACGTTATTGAAAAACATTTTTTAAAACCCTGCGTAGATGGAAGGACATATGTTTTTGAATGGGAAGACTCAATTTCACAAAGATGTCAATTATCCCAAATTAGTCTGTACTTCCAGTATGGGGGGAAAAATAACCTCGTTTTTTCAAGGAAGTTGACAAACTAATGGTAAAATTTATATAAAGGAACCAAGAGGAATTTGAAGTAGAAGATAATTTGCCCCATGGGATATAATGATTTATTATAAAGTTATAATTAATAAAATGTATAATTGGTAAAGGTATGATAAATATCCAGAAACAGACCCAGACATATGAGAAGCCTTGTACGTGAAAAAGGTATTAAACAAGCAGAAGGGAAGCAACTGACAACTTGATAAATGCTAGGACAATTGTTTATATACACACAAAAAATCCATTCCTCATGTACAAAAGTAAATTCCAGATGGATTAAAGACAAATATGAGAAACAAAACCATAATGCTTTTAGGAGAAAATTTTTGTGAACCTAGGGTAGAGAAAGCTATCTCAATAACAAAAAATTATAAGCTATAAAGAAATTTTAAAAATCAACTACATTGACATTGCAACTTTAGACGTGATTAAAAAAACTAGTGTCTAGAATAAATAAATAGCTTCTACAAATCAAGAAGAAAACACAAATATCCCAATTGAAAATAGGCAAAGGATACAAATGGTCAAATCGTGGAAGGGGAAATGACCTGTAAACATATTAAAAGGGTGCTTAACTGCACAAGCAGTTAAGGAAATAAAGATTAAAACAACAACAACAAAATGAGATACCATGTCACACTCCACCAGACTGGCAGTAACCGATGTCTGTCAAGACCAAATATTGGCAAAGATAGCAACAGAAACACTCATGCTGCTGGTGGGTGTGTAGATCATTATAATCATGATGGTAGGCAGAATAATGCCCCCCAAATGTTCACGTCTTCATCCCCACAACCCGTGGGGATGTCATGTTTCATTGCATTGAAAATGCAATTAAGGTTGCTACATATAATATGGAGATAATCCTAGATGGTGCACATGGGCCCAGTGTATTCACAAGCATTCTTTAAAAGTGGAAGAGAGAGGCCCAAGGGAGAATCAGAGGAAGAGATATGATGATAGCTGCAGAGTCAGAGAGGTGCTCGCTCTGTTGCTGACTTTGAAGATGGAGGAAGGGAACTCCAAGGAATGCTGGTGGTCTCTAGAAACTAGAAAAGTCAAGGAAACCAATTCCCTTCTGCAACCTCCCAGAAGGAACTGAGCCCTTCCAATGCCTGGATTTTAGCCCAGTGAGACTCACAGCAGACTTCTGAACTATAAAAATATAAGATAAGAAATTGTGTTATTTTGGGCCACTAAGTTTTTGGTAATTTCTTACAGCAGCTATAGAAAACTAATATAACCACACTGCAAAGAAATTTTGGAAGATCTAGAAACTTAACTCCCAGGGACATAGCCTCTGCTTTGCTACTTAATTATGTGGTCCAGGGACCATTAGCATCACCCGAGAGCTTGTTAGAAATTCAGATTCTCAAGCCCTGCTGAATCAATATCTATGGTTTAACAAGATACCCGGGTAATTTCTAAGCACACTAAGCTCAGAGGCAGTACCCTAGGGAAGATCTCCCATTTATGAACAAAGAAATAAGTATAAAAATTGCAGCACTATTGGTAAAAAGCATCATCATCATCATCTTCATCATCATCATGGTAATGGCTTTCAGCCATAGAGTATATGAATAAATTGTTGCCTATTTATACAATAGAACACATATAGCTGTGAGAATAAGTGAAGGAGAGCTTCTTGGAGCTAAAACTTCAACACAATGTTGAATGTAAAAAAATTAAATGTTGCAGAGAGATTTGTACAGTATGAATACTAGTGATATAAAATTTTAAAGCATGCAAAACAACACTATAAAATGTTTGTTGGTAGATACACATGCAAGTAAAATGTAAAAACATTCATGAAGATGATGAATACCAACTTTAGGATGGTGATTGCCCTTGGGGAGAAAAGCAAATGAATGAGTGGGATAGGAAGTGATTTTGGCACGAGGTTGTTTTGACAAAGCTGGCTGGTGGGCACAACCCTATTCTTTATATTATTGCCTCATTTGTCTAATGGCTTCAAATATTCCATAATTTAAAAAAATGTTAGTTTATAAATGGAATTTATAGGATTTCTCTTTTTTTCTCTGAATTTATAGGATTTCTACATCAGAGTGTCTTCATCAGTTTCTAACTCAGAAAAAAATTTTATGCATTTATTTTTGCATCATTTGATTGAAATTCAAGTCAGCTGAAAAAATGACTAATCTGGAGTTTTTCCCTTCAAGGCTTTCAGGGTGTTTAATGAGTATTATACCAAAAGCCTTACACCAGTTTCCTGTCTTCAATTCCAAAGAGAATGTTATTTATCATGAAATTCTTGAGAGATTGATCAGTATGTCTGCATAATTAAGTTCTAGGATCTGTTGTACCCTGTACAGACTGGCTGGGTATTACATTTAAAATTCCTGATCTTTTAAGGAAAAGCTCTTGGTTAAAAGAGACAGAAAACAAACAAAATAAAGCAATGTGTTGTGTATGGACACAACATTTAAAAAAAAAAAAAAACCCTGAATATTTCTAATACTTTGCACTCTGTGGGCATATGACCGAAATCTGCTGGAGACTAATTCTATGAACCGCATGTGGGAAAAGCAATTCTCATTATTTATCATCATCCATATACATTTAATTTGATCCAGAATCACCCTTCTATTAATTTTAGTCACTGATATTCTGAAAATGATAGCCTTTTGTCCTATTCTCATATCTGAATGTCCTTTATATATGGACATGTCCCTTCTGTTTGCGAAAGGTCTATATATGTGTAATCACTGTTGCTTATTTGATTCCTTCTGTGTCTTCTATATACAAAGCCAAATTTAAAGTAAATAGACACCAAAAAAAATTTCTTCAAGAAATCCCTAGAAAACAATTCTCCTGGGACATTTAAGTACTTGAGAGGATTTTGAGAAAAAATCCATACTGAAGTGATAAGCAGATGTTTCCCATATGTTGTTCACAGATAAGTCCCTATAGCTTAGGCAATATCTTTCCTTGAGATTTTGCCATTTTAAATCAAGCTGTCCATACGTGTCTTTGAGGCAAATCATGTGTGACAAACAAGCTGAGTCTAAACTTCTGTTGAAATAGTACAGAAGTTGGGGATTTAAATTTGCATTGCTACTTTTCTAACTATTCATAAAAATAAGGCAGCGTTGCCATATGTCAGTTGTCTAAACCATGCCTCTGTATCTCTCAGGAATGTGAATACATTCCTCTGCACTTTTTTCAGTTCAGGTTCCTCCTTATGGCACTGCTTAGTTTTCATTTAAACAGCATCCAAATGTTGTTTCTCGTCAGGAATTCTTTATCAGAATTGTTTCCTTCTTAAGGGTGTGGTCTGGTTACTGTCAAATTTTCCTTTTTCCCCATGGTGCATTACTCAGGAAAACTTTTTCATTAGATAATAAATAAATAAATAAAATATTCCCTTTTATGGAATCCATTTAAGTCATGCTTTAGTGATTTTTCAGAATAAGATGCTGTGTTATTTTTAGCGGAGGACTTGGCCATCACTCCCCACTATTTAATGAATAAGCGCAAAGATTATTGCGTTGACAATAAATGTGTTTCTACTGCCTGTGAGCTAATACTCATCATTCCCGGTATTGTTCCTTCAACAGGCAATGCCATGTTGTTGAGGGTGTTGCCCGCTGTGTATGAAAAGCAGCCTCAGCCAATCAACAGACACCTGACAGAACTCCTGGCCTTGATGTCTCACCTAGAACAACCAGAACAGTACCATCTTCTCCGGCTTTTGCATGTAGCCGTGAAGAGAAAGCAACCAGAGGTAAAAAAGCAAAAGCATATCACATATTTGATGGTCCACACAACCAGGCATGTTTCTGGGTATGAGGACAGGATGTGTGCTCCAGATTTCCTCCCTCCTGCACCCAAACACACCCATCTTTAAATGAAAGCCCTCATTCACTTTTTCTAGAACCGTGAAAGTGAGGAGGTGACGGCAGAGGTTGGGTACTGTGTTATGGTTCCCCAGAGAAACAGAACCAATAGGACACATATATTGTGAGCAACTGGAATTGGCTTATGCGACTATGAGACTGAGGAGTCCTGCCGTACACCATTTGTAAGCTGAGGACCCAAGAGAACGAGTGGTGTAGTTCCAGTCTGCGTGCAAAGGCCTGAGGAGTGGGAGAATCAATGGTGTGAGCATTGGGCCAAGTCTGAAAGCTTCAGAATCAGATGGCTGATGGTGTAAGTCACAGCCCAAGGGCAGGAGAGGACCAATGTCCCAGCTCAACCCCTCATATTCAGGCCCTCAGCAGTTTCAAGGAAGCCCATCCATACTGGGAAGGGCAATCTGCTTTACTCATTCTACCAATTTAAATGCCAGTCTCATCTGGAAACACTCTCACAAACACACACAGAATAATGTTCAAGCAAATGTGTGGGCACTCAATGACCCAGTGAAGTTGACACATAAAATTAACCATAACAGGCACAGTACTAAAAACAGAACAAAGGTAAAACCTGTCACTATGGCAGAAAAGCTTGAATTGAAGTTGAGTGTGGCCATGCAGTCCCAGGAATCTGTGGTTTCTCAGAGAGGGCCAAGGAAATGACCTGCACGTGGGAAAGTCAGCCTGGAGTGAGAGCAAAGGCTCATTTTCTAGATAGCAAGTTAGTTGTTGGTTTTTTGGAATCAAATACAAAATTGTAATAATTAGGATGATTGTGAGGATCAGTCACAGAATACCCAACCCATGCTGGTTTAAATGATAAAAGGAATTTATTAGCTAATGGAATGGGGAAAAATACCTTCTGATGAGGTGGTTGATCCAGGAGTCAAATAATACAAACAGAACAGTATTCCTATTCTCTATTTCTCAGATTTGATTTCTGATTTTTGGCTTCCATTTTCGGCAGGCTTTCTCCTTGTGGGTTCCATAGAGGTCCAAGGGGCTCTCTAGGCACCATGCTTCTACCTCCTCTCCCCACCCCACCAACATCCAAACAAAAGTCCTGATATTCTCTGTTTAGGACACACAATGTACCCCTGGTGCTTCTGCTGACCCCCTAAGATATTCAGATAGAGTCTAAAGACTGCCAGGAGGGGGAAAGTAGAAATGGATTATGGAAGGTACCCAAACATGTGCACAAGTGAAGATTAAAGGTCAACCCAAGGTTTTATCAACTATGGTTGCAACTCTGTTTCATTTCCTGAGTGAACATTAAGGTAAATAATGGAACATTTGAAGTCAACATTCAAATTGTTCAAAGGAAAGCAGGCAAGAATGGTCAGATGTATGACTAACCACAATAGGCTACAAATGCCTGGTGGTAAGGAATGATTTCTTCTTTTCTTCTGTATCCCAGACCTTGGCATAGTATCTGATAGCACTCAGTAAACATTCACAAAACCAAACAGAATAAAACAGGGTGATAAATATTCTGCAGATGGTATAAACAGAAGGAGGGGCAATGATTTCTGCCTTAGGGAGAAATAGGTAACATGAAGATTCACAATGGGAGTGGCATCAAGGATAACCTTGAAGAATGGGAGTTTTGGTCCAGGTGGAACAGAGGGGCAAAGGGCCTTGAGGAGATGGGGACAGGGCTAGGAGTCCTGGACACTGGAGTGTAGACTTGGGCCCTATCCCTAGAGACTTCTAATTCAGTAGGTCTGGGAAGGAGACCTGGATTCTGCCCTTTTCCAAGTTCTCAGGTGATGCTTTTCCTGATGCTTCAGACCGCACTTTGAGTAGCTAGGTGGGAGGTTGGGCTGAGGACCGGGGACATCTATGTTACCTGGTGTGCATTTTTGCTTTTGCCCTTAGAACAATATATTGTCATTATTTTTTGCATGGCTGTCTTTCCCAGTGCACTCTAAACTCCTTGAGGGACCTGTGTCTGCGTATTTACATGCACTCCCTAGCATAGTGCTGCACACACAGTAGGATTTCAATAAAAAGTTGTTGGATTCAGAAATGAATAAATGACCAGAAGAGACCAGAATGGAGACCATGGAGAACCAGGGGAAAGATGTTGCAGTCTCCAAAGGGTGTAAAGTGGCTCAACAGGATCAAGATCTAGAGAAGTAAAGGAGCGTGGAGAGGGGAACGGAACTTAGATTTGGCAACTGGGTACTCCTCAGGGCATTGCCTGGGTGGGTGGGGTGAGGAGTGGTGGTCATCTATTATGGATTGTGTGTGGAGGGAAGGTTGGGAACTGACCGCATGAGTGTAGAAGTTTAGAGGAAATAAGGAGAACTAAAATAAATCCTTTGGAATGCCTTGATCTGTCCCAATTACTTCTGCCAAACACATACAAATTGAACGTCACAACTATTGACCCTTTTCACTAGTAGGGCATTTTGGGTCTTTTTATTTAACTGTGCTCAAAATCCCAATACATTCTTAAAGGAGGGGAAGCAAAAGCATGTAGTAGGAACTGCCAGATCCAAGGCGCTCAATGAATGTTGGTCAAGGTACCAAGATGCACTGGACTCCTGGCTAGGGTTGGAGATTGGCAAGGTTTCAAGGAGGACAGTTTTGCTTTTAGCCATTTTAGCTTGTTCTGAATTTTTTAATTTAAATTCCTAGCTCTTGAATCTCCATATTTCTCATTTTCTTCATCCATAATATAAGAATAATCACCTTCCTGATATGCCTTGCAAAGATTTTGTGTTGTCTAAATCATGTTAAAATAAACCAATCTATGCCTAAAAATTAAAAATAAAATAAAATAAAACCCAGGAACAATGAAGAGATTGAAGATGTGGAACAAAGTACTAGCTGGAATCAGGAGCTAGAGGAAGTTAGAGAATGAATACCAGAGCATAAGTGGAGGAATCCATTTGGGAAAGAATTAAGGACAGAAAGTTAGAGCAAGACCATAGTAGAGTTTGGGCAAGGAGTAGAGTTGAGGGATCACTGGATCACTCAAGCAGAGGCTTGGAGTGAAGGACGCAGAAGGGGTGAGGTACTTGTTTCCCATCCCCGCTGAAACAACTGACCATAAACTTGGTTTAAGACAGCACAAATTTATTATCCTCCAGTTCTCGAGATCAGAAGTCCCAAATGGGTCAGCAGGGCTGCACTCCTTCTGGAGGCACTGGGGAGAAATCTGTTTCCTTGCCCTTGTCCAGCTTCTGGAGGCTGGCTGCCCTGCTCAGCTCCTGTCCTGCCTCCCTCTCACCTCTGCTTTTCTCATCACATCTCTGACTCTGAGCCTTCCCCCCCGCCCCCGCAAGGGTCCATGTAATCACCTTGGTGTCACCCAGATGATCCAGGATTCTCTCTCCATCTCAAGACCTTAACTTAATTATACCTGCAAAGTCCCTTTTGCCACGCAAGGCAACATCATCATGGGTTCTGGGGATTAGGGTATATATACATCTTTGGGGAGTCATTATTCTGCCTACCACAAATAGAGCCTGGGGACCATACAATATGGGGGATAGGGAGGGGTGACCAAAAGGCCAAACCTGGTTTCATAAAGGAGGCAGCTGGCGTGCCATTTTATCCGCAGCCTGCAAGCAAGAGCAAAACATAGTTTTTGGAAAGGCAGGTTCAATAAAAATTCAAGGGGGATCTAGTGAGAGTAAATTAATTCAATTAATTTCCCATGGGCCAAGGCTGGACATTAAGGTAAAGGAAACCAGCAGGAGGCTCACTTATAGGAAGGGGGAGAGAAAAGACTTGGGGGTCTCCCCACCTAAAAAGATGGGAGTCCAAGAGTGAGGGTGACACCACGTGTGGCATTCAAAGAGGTCCCATCAGACACCTAGTTACAGTCCCTCTGTGGCTGAGAGACTCAGGAAAGGACATTCATAATCAGGCCCCTGACCACTGTCTGTTCTCATAGGGTCTCTTTAACTCCCAACACCTTGAACAATTATACAGTCCTAAACACCATAGATGGACACTCTTCTCTCAGTGCACTGAGTTTTTATACATATATTCTATGTTCTTCACCTGGAATGTTCTTACCTCACCACTACCACTCTTCCTGCACTGACTATTCCTAGTCCTTAGACAACTACTTAGATATCAGTTTCTTGCCAGGAATCTTCTCTGACTCCTTCCTTCCTCGCCATCTCTGCCATAGCAAATTTCACATTGTAATGAATCTGTCTCTACTGGTCTCTCTCTCTGGGCTACCTTGGCTGTGATGCAAATGCTGGAGATGTGAAGACCACCTTGTTCACCACTGTGTCCCTGATGCCTTGCATAATATCTGGCACACAGAAGTCACTTCATGAATATTTCTTAGTATTAGTGCCTAATTTTGCAGAGGACTTTCTCATTCATAAAGGACCTCTTTTTTTTAGCATCTAATCCTACCAATTTAATTTACTCCTACCAATAACTCTAAGATGCGTTATTTTTTTCTCTGTTTTTCACCACTCAAAATGGGTATTCTGGGAGGTTAATTTGCCCCTATCATACAGGTAGTAAGAAGTAGGGGACAAGTCCAGGACTCTGACTCCCAACCCCTTTCTCTCTCCTCGGCCTGGGGAAATAAGCAAGCAGCCAGGCATACCTTGTTTTATTGTGCTTCACTTCACTGCACTTTGCAGATGTTGTATTTTTTACAAATTAAAGGTTTGTGGCCACCCTGCATCAAGCAATGCTATGGGCACTATTTTCCCAATAGCATTTGCTTACTTTGTGTCTCTGTGTCACATTTTCATAATTCTCATAGTAATTCAAACATTTTCATTATTATTATATTTGTCATGGTGATCCATGATCAGTGATCTTTAATGATACTATTGTAATTGTTTTGGGGTACCCCAAGCTGTACCCATATAAGATGGCAAACTTA